ATGTTCATTTGCTGACCAGGGACTTTATTTAGTATTGTTATTTTAACTTGCAGGCATTTGTTCCAACCACCTTGGAAAGCCAGTTCCAGAATCGTCCCCAGCCCTGGCCCGCACAGCAGTGCCCTCATTTGCATGCCGCGGCTTCGTCTCCCAAACGACGTTCTGCAACGCCATTCCTCACTGCTCCCCACCGTGCTGAGCCGCTATGCAGATGGGCTCTCACGTCCTCTCCCGCCCATTTCGTTTTTCCGGCTGTCTGTCTTGCCCTGCGCTCACTCAGTCCCCTCCAGCGATCTTTGGCTGCCACCGCAGTGGGCGCTGAGCCAGGCTGTGCCAGCCCAGCCCTTCCTCGAGCACCCTAGCCCTTTCTGGTCCGGATTTATTTCACACACGAGGTGGCTGCTTTGCCCAGAGTGGAACAAGAGCACTTTTCCTGTACAAAGAACTGATTTGGATTTTCATCTAAAATCCACGAGTGCTAAAAGGAGATAAAGATAAATCAGCATTTTCTGCTCATTGCAGGTCAGTGAAGTTCAAGAACTTGCTGCCAGATGGGTAAAACCAGGATATAGGATGCGGAAGGCGTTGAGTGACTCATGGCCGGTTACGTATCACACCGTGTTCTTCACCGCATTTAATCCTCATAATAACCCTCCAAGGTAGGTATTCCGATCCCCATTTGTCGTAGGAAGAAACTGAGGCTTGGAGAGGTAGAAGGACTTGTCTAGCACACACTTAGGAAGTGACAGATGCAGGTACTGAACTTTCTCTCTGGCACCAAATGCCATGTTCTTTCCATGGCACCATGCTGCCTTCTTGATGAGCATGCTGACTCATTTGTGAAGTTATGTAAGCTTGTAAATCACATTGAGATTCCCAATGTGCCTGCATAAAAAAGGAAAAAGTATTGCCACGACAGCTTCGGTGTACCAGTGGAGAGAGGCACCCCACTGTCTGGGAAAGGTTATAGCAAACTGTTGAGAGGTAAAGGTCTGCCCCAGTGAAAGTCAGACCAGAGGCAATCATTTGTCCCCTCTCCTCCCAACCTGTTCTGTAAATAAACAAGGCTTTAATTACAAACATATGAATAAGGCTATCTATCCATTGAACTCAGGAGTAGTTACTCTAAGTCCAACCCAAACTTTGGTCACCTGCAATAGGTATACTAAAGGTGCTCAGGATGATATGGTTCAGTACCACTCAAGACAGTCACCTCCATCAGAGGAAATAGGCAAGATTGGTTTTTAGCATTATCCATATACCCCTTTTATTGAATAGAGAAGTACCAGAATCAGATATGCACTTTAGGAAGCTGTCCCTTGTCTCTGTGCAGGAGAGAGTGGGATGTAATGTAGTGCTGTTGGAGCCCTGCCCATGTTCCCTTGGTATTCACCATTATACGCTGAAGGCCCATGACCCTCTGGGTTCTGGCTGGAAGCATGCTCAGCCCATGCTCAGTGCAGGCCAGAAGTGCTAGGGACTTCTTGCCCCTGAGAGCAGCCACAAAGCAATGATGGATCAAGAGTTGATGGATAAATAGTAGCCCAGCTCCCTTGCCTGTTGGTTGGGATAATGCTGAGGCATATTCTGTACTGTCTCCCAGACTTTTCCAGTGGGACAGAGCTCCAGTGTCCTTCAATGCTTGATAACACAGCCTGTATTGGCTTCTTTCACTTCCCTGTCTCATCCCCCAGCTCAGCTCCAGGTCTCCTGGGATCACCTCTTGAATAAATTATTTATACTCAATTCCTTGTCTCAGGCTCTGTTTCTGGGGGGAGCCCAAATGAAAAATCTTTCAATAACCTCAGTGTAGAGATAGAAAACAGGGGCCCAGACAAAAGGAGCGGAAGTGGGAATAAAGAGAAGGGGATGGATATGAGCAATATTCACCCTGAGATTTAGGACTTCAAAACTGGTTAAATGGAGTGCCAAAGGGGGGGGGATAGGGGAGACTCTGTAAGGACTGTGGGTCTGGGCTTGAGCTCCTGGGTGCTTGCTGACGCCTTGAACAGAACTAAGGAATATATTTGGGGGTAAGAAAGTAAATCCAATTACGGATATGTAGGAGAAAGTGGCATCTGGCTCTGTGATGTCATTTGCAAGAGTGAAAGTACCCCCTTTGCTAAAAGCATCTTCCCAAACTGCTTACCATAGTGCTTGAAATTCTAAATTACTCATTCCTTTGGCTTGCTTTTTCCAGAATCCTATTTTTAAAATGCTCCTGAGATTATTGATAATTTTGTTACGTGTGATAATAGCATTGTGGTTATGTAGGAAAAAAACCTCCTTAACTGTTAGAAATACAGGCTAAAGCATTTATGGGTAGAATGAAACAGTCAGGGATTGCTTTAAAATAATCCAGCAAAAAGAAAAGTGAAATGTATAAATAGAAGGATAGATAAAATGACATTGGCAAAACATTTAAAATTGTAAAAGGCTCAGGATGAGTATAAGGCGTTCATTATATCATTTCCTCTACTTTTGTGTACATTTGAAAATTTCCATAATAAAAGAAATGTTACCCCAATATTTTAAAAGTGGGACGATATCATATCCAACTGTTTTTTATCACTTGTGAAAAACAACCACAAAGATGTGTATTAAAACTTTGGTTGGATTTTATATTTTTGGAATATTTAGAAGGAAAAGAGGGCTGGTCCTTTTAAGAAATAGACTTGTTAAGAGCTGGATTTCAAAGAGAAAAAAACTAGGATTCAGATGTAAGATATCATACCTTTTGCCAACTGTTTGGTCTTTACCACCACTCACTTGAGAAGAAGGAGGCATCTAACAATTTTCTGTCATACCCTGCCACAATGGTTCTACACCAGGTGCTTTGAATGAATGATCTCATTTTAAGAAACTGAGGCTAAAGAGATCAACTCTTTGGCCTAAAGATCACAGGGTGATAAATTGCAGGGGCATTAGGAGAGGGTCCTGGGTCTGAAGTGCCATTGCGTCTGGCTTCAAAGTTTGCCACGTTCCACAGCCTTCAGACTCACTCACTGTGGTTGGTCCTAGGTCAGCTCACAATTCAGAGACGTGGTCACTCACAAACTGGCTCCCACTGAATCGATTCTCTGGGATCAGCCTGCTTCTGTCTAGGTGGAGCTGAAACCAAGAGAAATTAAGAACATGTCCTCCTGGGCAGAGAAGACAGGGTGATAAAAGCTCACAGATGAAGTGAGGGGTGTCAAGGAAGGATGGGTTGCCAGAAAAGTCAGAGGTGGGCACAGCAGGTGGAACAGCCAATAGGGGCAAGAAGCGAAGATAAACTGAACTGTAAAACAGCAAATAACTCCATGAGTAAATGTAAGATGTTTAAAAAACCAGTGTTTAAGCACTTATTTATACTTCTTTTTTGTTAAACCAACTTTAAGGTCAAGTAAAAGAGATAATTAGATTACAATAATTCTTCTTGTTGGAGTATTATATATCCATAATAGTATGGAAATTATTATCCCTAATAAAAACTACAGAAAAATGTTTATTTAAAAACTTAAGTGAAAAAGCAGAATTTAGTATATCTGGCATGATTACAATTTTCTAAAAACATCCTTGACATAGATGGAAAGGATTGGAAGAAAAAAAAGTCAAAAAGCTTGTGGATTTGGTTGTAGAAATATGGATTTTTTGTATTTTAATTTTTCTTCTATAATTTATATGCTTTATTTTCTTATAATGAAATGTATTACTTTTGGAGTGTAAAAAAAATGGTTAAGAAGTAAACCAAAGAAATACATTTTATTTTTTATCCTGTTTAATCCAGGGTAATGAAGATGCTTATAGGAATGAAAGAAATGAGAGATATTTATGGCTTCCTGTTGAGAAGAGAAACATAATTTGGTAGAAAATCTGAGCAAGTGATGGTGAGTTGCATCTTAGCTGCCCTCAGTCAGCCGTATACACATGCAGCCAATCTCCTCACTGGGCCTCCATCCTCTGTTTGATCAAGGTGACTGTGAATCACTGAGAGATCTGCTCACCTGAAGATCACACTGATGCTAAGAGAACACAGACTGCTAGCCACAGGTCTCTCTCTACACCTCAGGAGCTTAAATTCATATGCTAACATTAAAAAAAAATATTTATTTATTTGAGAGGGAGAAAGAGAACACAAGCAGGGGGAGTGGGAGAGGGAGAAGCAGGCTCCCCACCAAGCAGGGAGCCTGATACGGGACTCGATCCCAGGACTCTGGGATCGTGACCTGAGCTGAAGGGAGATGCTTAACTGACTGAGCCACCCAGGCATCCAACATACCAACATTTTTACTTAGTCATTTCCTTGGCATTTTTAAAAAGTCATATGAGTTAGACTCTCTCAGGGGCCCTGATAGTCTTTCAGGGGCCAGAATGTTGCTTCATTGTAGAAAGCCAGAGTCAACCCAGGCAAAAATGTCAATAGTATCTTTTACCTGGATAGAGACCTTCTCTACAAACCTGTTAAACCAAAATTTATCCCACTTTCATCTACAATTTATACAGAGTTTCTTCCTGGGGTGGGGGGGCTAGTTCCTGCTCACTGGCTCTGAAATTGAAATATTAGATATCAGTAACTTTCTCAAAGAGGCTTTTACCAAAACCTAAGAAAAGAAATACAAAATGTTTTATTATAATTCAACCAACACTGGAGCCTGCAATGCAGAGTCCTCAGCCAGACTCTTCAGGAGACATGTAGAGTAAGAAATAGAACTTGCTCTTAAAGGAGAGGGAGAAGAAAAATAATCCTAGGATTGCCTGTAATACCAAGAAGAATAAAAGAAGTAGTGTGCATATTTAGGGAGGAGAAAAATCGCCTCGACTTAAGGGTCTTATGGAAAGGTTTCCAGAAGGTAGGGCGATTGAAATGGACCTTGACAGATATGATGTCAGTCAGCCACAGACAGCAGGGAGGGCGGGCACAGATGGCACTGATGGAGGGAAGACTATCAGCAAGCAAAGGAAAAGATGAATAAAAGGTCAACACTTTCTGTTCCAAATTTTTATAAATGCAAGTGGCCCTATGAACTAAGGACCCAGGAGTCATGACTTGGCCTATGGCTGCACTTCGTTCTGCTGAGTATAGACTTGGAAGCAGGTGGAGGAGGAGGCAGCTTGGCTGGAGGGGTTCCCTGAGCACACTTGCCAGGGGAGCAAAGGAAGAGGTGTAGGACAGTTCCAGCTGCTGGAGGGACAAGGCTGGGGGGAAGCAGAGATGTTAAAAGGGCATTGTTAGGGCCTTTTACTTTGTAATGTACTCCCTCCTCAGGAACCACACAAAATCTTCAGTACAAAGCTACATTACTGACAATGCTTTTGGACTTGAGTCTTTAATTCACAGGTGGAGGGGACTGAAAAGCAGAGGAGGGGTGAGTATGGAGTATGGCTGGAAGTAAGCAGGGTATGAAACCAGAGGCAGCAAGAGGGATGAAGGTATATTTGGTTAATATACTCACTTTATTTATTTTTTTTTTAGATTTATTTATTTATATGACAGAAGGAGACACAGCGAGAGAGGGAACGCAAGCAGGGGGAGTGGGAGAGGGAGAAGCAGGCTTCCCACCAAGCAGGGAGCCCAAAGTGGGGCTCAATCTCAGGACCCTTAACGACTGAGCCACCCAGGTGCCCCAATATACTCACTTTAAAGTGAAGAAAGGCAACTCATCATTTAGCCTGTCACCACTGCTGTGATGTGCCAGGCACTGTGCCCATGTTGGGATGCAGGGTGAGTCCAGCTTGCTGTGGCCTGGCCTTCAAAGAGACTGCATTCTTGGGGGCGGGGGGGGTGCAGAGATTAACTATATAACAAAAAATTTAAAATTAGGATTGTAATTAGTGTAATTAGTGTAATTAGAGAGGTCTACAATGCTACAAAAGCTTATAGAGGGATTTGACCTTGTGGGTTAGTGAAGGGGCTATAGAATTGCATGAGTTCTGAAGGATGAATAGGAGTATAGTGTGTAATATTTAAGGCAGAACGAAGAGTAAGTGCAAAGGCCCTGTGGAAGGAAGGAAGTGAGGAGAGGCCAGTGTGGCTGGAGCACAGACAGTGATGGGGAGCATGAAGCCAAGCGCAGCTGAAAAGGCAGGAAGCGGACCTTAGTGGGTCTTGAAGTCATGTAAGGGTTTAAATGGGGGTGCTAGGATAATGTATATTTTAAAAGATCACTCTAGGGGCTCCTGGATGGCTCAGCTGGTTAAGTGTTGGACTCCTGGTTTCAGCTTAGGTCGTGATCTCATGGGTCATGAGATGGAGCCCTGTCCAGAGGCCCATGTCGGGACTCAGGGGTCAGTGGGGAGTCTGCATGAAGATTCTCTTCCTCTGCTCTTCCCCTACTCCTGCGCATGTGTGCACACTCTCACTCTTTCTCTAAAATAAATAAATAAATCTTTAAAAAAAAATAAAAGTTCACTCTAGCTGCCGTATGGTAAAGAAATGGGAGTATGGTAAAGGTAGATGTAGGTAAGAAAACCAACCAGGAGGCTATCGCTCTCCCCAAGCAAAAGATAATGATAGGGCAGCGTTTTATACCACAGAAAAAAGCATGACATAGCCTCAGCTAGAGGATCAACCCTCTTTTATGTTAAATTGACAACCTGCAAGAAAATGTCACCTTACACTCTGTAGGAAACTTATTGTTCCTTTCAAGCACAAATATGTCCTTACGTAAGTGACTTTAGTAATAAGAACAGATATATGCTAAGACTAGGATGAAAAGACTGTCTCTGAAGGAGAGAAATGCAAAATGTAATATTCATAAGCTTTTGGATATGTCTACATGACAGATGTGTTTCTAAGTGTACTGTATATTTTAAGCAGAAATCTTTTCTTCCTGGTTGGGAAGTTGTATACAGCACACTAAATGGATGGAATGAGCAAACCATTATGTATGAGTTGCTTTGTCTTTTGGTAAAAACAACTCAGAGATGCATGCACATTAAGATGTTTCCATATCACCTTCAATTCACCCTGTGTATTCTAATCTTGCTCAAGGAGAAATGAACAAACCACAATGGCACTGGGAAATTATATGCACTTCTATATTGGAAATAGATCAAGGGCACACCGGTGAATAAAGATATAAGAGATCTGAACCACATAATTAACAAACTTGATCTAACCTTGCACTCAATGATTATAGAGTATCCATTCTTTTTAAGCTCACATGGAACTGTTATAAAAATGACTATGTATGATTACAAGGCTTTGTTCACTTTGTAATAACTTATTGAACAGCATATGTATGATTTGTGCATTTTTCTTTCTATATGTATGCTAAATTTCAAAAAAATGGTTTGTTAAGAAACAAAAAAACAAAAACTGACCATATATTAAGTCCCAAAGAAAGTCTCAGCAAGGGGCGCGTGGGTGACTCAGTCAGTTAGGTGTGTGGTCTGCCTTTGGCTCAGGTCATGATCCCAGGGATCGAGCCCCACATCGGGCTCCTTGCTCAGTGGGGAGGGGAGCCTACTTTTCCCTCCCCCTCTGCCTACTGCTCCCCCTGCTTGTGCTCTCTCTCTGTCAAATAAATAAATAAAATCTTAAAAAAAAGTCTCAGCAAATTTCAAAGGACTAATATTACACAATAATGCAATTACATTAGAAATTAACAATAAAAAATAGACAAAACAATATTTGGAAAGTGAAAAACGCATTTCTATATAACTTATGAATTAAGGAAAAAACAATAGAAATTACGAAATACTAGGAACCACATGACAATGAAAATACTAATAAAACCTATGGATATGTAGCTAAAATGAAATGTACATAATTATATGCATAAAATTATAAAACATAAAAATGAAAATGAATGAGGTAAGTATTCTGCTTAAGAAACTGCAAAAAGAACATTAAAGTAATCTCAAGAAAAATAAAAGAAGTATAAGAGGAAAACTTGATTAGAGATGATAAACAAAATAAAAAGCAGGCTCTCTGAAAAGACAAGGTAGACAATCCTCTAGCAGGATGGATGAAGAAAAAAAGAAGCAATAAATAAACAATTGGTGCAGCCATTGTGGAAAACGGTATGGGGTCTCCTCAAAAAATTAAAACTGTATGGGGTTTCCTCAAAAAATTAAAAAAAAAATTTTTATACCTACAATCCAGGAATTGTACTACTGGGTATTTACCCCCCAAAATACAAAAAGACTAATTCAAAGGGATACATGCACCCCTATGTTTATAGCAACATTATCTACATTATCTACAATAGCCAAACTATGGAAGCAGCCCAAGTATGCTTTGATAGATGAATGGATAAAGAAGATGGAAATTACTCAGCCATAAGAAAGAATGAAATCTTGACATCTGCAGCAACATGGACAGAGCTAAAGAGTATAATGCTGAGTGAAAGAAGTCAGCCAGAGGAAGACAAACACCATATGATCTCAGTCATATGTAGAACTTAAGAAACAAAATGAGCAAAGGAAAAAAATAAGAGAGAGAGAGACAAACCAAGAAGCAGATTCTTAACTATAGAGAGCAAACTGATGGTTACCAGAGGGGAGTTTGGTGAGGGGTAGGGGAAATAGGGGATGGGGATTAAGGAGGGCATGAAAACAAACAAACAATATTAGAAACAAAAAGAGGATCATAATTATAAAGACAGTGGAGACTGAAAAAAAAATCATAAGATGAGATTAGAAACTCTATAGCAATAAGCTTCAAACAAGATACTTAAGAAAATTTAAATTACCAAAATGCATTCCAGAGGAGATAGAAAACCTGAAAAAACCCAAAACCATTACAGAAATTGAATTGATAGCCAAAAGTCTCCCCTGAAAATAAAAAGGAAGACCCAGACAGTTTTAAAAGATACTTTACAGAGTCTTCAGGGATATATAGTTCCTGTCTTGAACAAACCATTTTGGAGAATTAAAAAAAAAAAAAAAAAAGGAAATCTATCCAATTCATTTCATGTAAATATACTACCAAAACTACATAAGAACAAAATAAGAAAAAGACAATTATAGAGCCAATTCATCTATGAACTTAAATGGTAAAATTCTAAATAAAATGCTAATGAATTCAACTTAATTATTTAATCAGTATATTAAAAAACATATCATGCCATGAAAGAGTCAATTTCAGAATGTAAAATATTCCACATGAGAACAACCTACTATGGTTTTCCGTGTTTTAAATAGATCAACAGAAAAACCATATGACTATATAACAAAAATGTAGAATTAGTATTTGATCAATTATCACTCATCCATGATTAAAAAACCACTTTTGGCAAGGAATATAAGAGAATTTTCTTAACCTGATAAAGGGCTTCTACCAAATTCTACAGCAAACATTCAGTGGTGAACAGATTTCCTGTTAAAGCTGGGAACAAGGTAGGACACTCTATTTCTACTCTTATAAAACATTGTACTGTAGGTCCTAGCTAAGTATTAAGAGAGAGACACAAGTACAGGATTTGGAAAAGAAAAGGCAAGATTGCTATTTTCACAAGGTCTGACCAACTCCATAGAACAATCCAAAGTAATGAATGGAAAAGCCAACAGAACTAATAAAAAGTTCAACAAGGATACTGGTTCCAAGATCAGTATATAAAAATCAGTACTATTACTACACACCAGTAATAACCACTTAGAAAACGTAATAGGAAAAGAAACAATTAACAATAGCAATGGAATCTATAATGTAGCAGAATTAACCCAATAGAGGAGGTGAGAATTCCTTCTGGAGAAAGTGACGAAACATGATCGAAGGGCATAAAGGACCTGACTAACAGATCACAGATGGGAAGATGCAATATTTTAAAAATATCTGTTCTCCTCAAATCAAGCTATATATTTAGTGCAGTTCCAATCAGAATCCCAATAGATTTTTTTCCCATGGAACTTAACAGCTTAATACTAAATTCATCTGAAAAAGAAGAGGAACAAAAGTAGCTAAGACAATTTTGAACTATAATAACATGGAGACATTTGCCCCCTTGAAATACCAAGACTTATTATAAAGCTATAGTAGAAACAGATAGAAAGTGATATATGTTTGTAATGGACAGGCTGTGTAGTCTTTTTTTTTTTTTTTTTAAAGATTTTGTTTATTTATTTGACAGAGAGACACAGCGAGAGAGAGAACACAAGGAGGGGGAGCGAACACAAGCAGGGGGAGCGAACACAAGCAGGGGGAGCGAACACAAGTAGGGGGAGCAGGAGAGGGAGAAGCAGGCCTCCCACCGAGCAGGGAGCCGGATGCGGGGCTTGATCCCAGGACCCTGGAATCGACCTGAGCCGAAGGCAGACGCTTAACGACTGAGCCACCCAGGCGCCCCCAGGCTGTCCCCAGGCTGTGTAGTCTTAATGTGCCTGCTGGATATACCACTTCGGAAGCAAGTAGTTCTATGTGAGTCTTCTCTAAATATGATAAGCTTCTGTGACTTAAGTGCATCTATTGGATAAAAACAGTCATGTAATCTTATTCATAACTGATCTGGACAGTGTCCAGATCAACAAAGCTGCAGATAAGTTGGATACAGTGAAAGCCAATCTCCCATGTGGTGCTTTGAGGCAATCTAGATTGAATACTGTCAAACTGACTCAATAATATCCTCTTTTGGAGGAATAGTAAATGCTAGGTAAACAAAGAGAAAGTGGTTTACTTGAGCTTAGGTGGGACACTGAAGCTCTAAAATATTGTTCTTATTCTCCCTTGGAACTGCTGTTTATTTCAGTTTTGGAAGATAAATCCCCAGGGTGGCTACATAACCAAATGAGAGATGACTTTCCTATCTACCCCGTGTTTTTAGATCTCCTTGCAATTAAATTAATTCACATAGCACTTTGTTTCTCTTCCTTGCAGTCTTAACAAGATTGATAAACAGGAAGATCAGGGTTTGATGGGACTTGAAGCCTACATAATTTGGGGCGTGGGGTGAGCTGGGGGTGGGGGTGGGAAGGAGGTGCTTCTTTAAGAAAAAATGCCAGTGATGACTGGAAGAATCTCCCACAGATTAGCTTCTGGTTCTGTATATTTTAAGCCTTATTTCTCATCCTTTACCTGTGTATTTCCAGGGCCAGGATTCACAGGACAAGTTCATATCAAAACACAAACTCTGATCCTGCACCTTCATGGCACACTGGGAGTTGACAATAACCCTGGAAGCCAATCCTGCACCTGGATGGCTAGCAGTAATTTAATTACACTTGAAATTGATGTGAATCAAATAAATATATCCCACTAAATTCAAATTTTCATTTGCTGCATCCCCCAAATGCCTCAGGCCACTGTGATCCACCTAACAGGAGGGAAAATGTGATAGAAGGGAAGGAAGTCAGAGAGGAGAGACACAACGGTCTTCGGCAACTGTGATTTAAATATCTTACTTTTTCTAATTTTACAAAAACATAATGGCCATGTAAGCACATTTCTAGGGCCCTTGCCAGGGTTCTGGAGAGGGCTTATGTAAGGAGGGGACCCTGCATTAGTTTGACAGCATATCCTTTGCTGATAATTCAATGTTAGGACAAGATTTTTAAAAACAAGAATAAAGGAAAATGCTCACTAAATGTCAGCTGCTGTTAATCACTGATTAGTTAAAGCCCTGGGCATTGGGTTTATTCACAAATTTACCTATGATCCTACCCAATTAAGAGAAGGAATGCTCTTCATAAGCAGGAACTTACTTGCCTCTTACAGTTTCTGTATTCACCTGTCCATCCAATGTTCCCTGAAATCCTGTCCCATTCTTATAACCTGACTACCCCTGCATATTTGCATTTCTCTCCTTCTCCACTTTACCACTTTATCCTCCCTCTTCCAGTCAAATACAGGTTAAATACAAATACAAATACAGTCAAATACATATACTTAGTCCTCGTAATCCATGTCCCAATAAATTCTGACAAATTCTATTAAGAAAAGTAAAAGTCTGACTTTCGGTTCCGCCGGCTGGCTGTCCGATGCGACCCCGGCGCGCACTTCCGCTCGCCCTCTGACCCGCGGCCGAACGAACTGCCGGTGCATTCTGCGACCCCCAACCATGCCCGCGGGCGTGTCCTGGGCCACGTATCTGAAAATGTTCGCTGCCAGCCTCCTGACCATGTGCACCGGGGCCGAAGCGGTGCACAGGTACTACCGGCCGGACCTGACGATACCTGAAATTCCACCAAAGCCTGGAGAACTCAAAACGGAGCTTTTGCGACTGAAAGAGAGACAACATGAACCTCAGATTTCTCAACAATAGAAACCTCAAAATAACTTAACTCTGTCAAGAACTCCGTGAATAATATTATAAGTATTAGTTAAAAAAAAGAAAAGTAAAAGTCTTCAAAACATGAAACGTTCTTTGGTGAAATCACCACTTGTGAAATTGTTTCCCACTTAAATTGTTTCATTTGCTAACCCTAATGCCTACATCCACTCCTATCAAAGTTTTAGTCATCCATTTGGAAATATCTAGTCCTCAAAAACAATAGAAATTTATCGCAAATCTTGAAAAAGATGTGGACTTCCATAAAATTGATGAAAGTGATGTTGGTGAACTGCTGGATCCACATGCAAAATGACTAATAAAGGAGGAGCTCAGAGTTGGACCAGATAACAAAAGAAAAAAAGACAGCCAGTAAGAATGATGATGACATCAATGCTTCAAAAGGAAATAATTTAGTTTCAAAGGATTAAGAAAGGACCTTGGAAAAACTGGGTAAAGCCCTCCAACATTTCTGCAAATATGACCCTGCTGCAGAACTCAAATGCAAAGTGAAGGATACTGAGCTATATGAAAATAACCATGTCCACAAATTAACACTTGATTTATCAGAATTAGCACAACATTGTAACAGTAACCTTAAACGTTAAATATAAGATAAATTCATTTTCATAATTTTTTGATTGCCTTATTTCAAGATAAAGTCTCAATCTTTTTCTTTCATTATGGAGTCTAGGTTCCCTCTTAAATAGATTCACTCTGGGAGGACCTTTCCTGGAAAAAGGAAGAGGGAAAGGAAGACCTCTTGTAGTCATCTCTATGTTTCCCAAACACACAATAGTCGAAGAATCCCTTCAGGAAACTGTAAAAATTACAGCCTCTTGGGTGCTCCTGCCAGATCAGTTCTGAATCTTCAAGAGCAGGACAGAACTTAGGACTCTATCTTTTTGACAATCATCTTAAGGGATCCTTATGATAATCAAGCAAATGTGGGAACAAACACCTTAACTAATCCAAAGGGAAATGATGTAGTTTATTCTCTCTGTCATTCTCTCTCTTTCTCTCCCTCTCTCTTCACTTTACAAAGTCTTTTTAAAACTTTGTCATCTGGAGTCATTGCACTCCTTTCTTCTTTCTTTTATCCTTTTTGCATGCCCTTCTTCCCAGATCAGTGTCTAATCTGTAAACAAAAGGTTTTTCAAACTTTATCAAGATTGTCTTTAGAATTTACAACCTGCTCCTGCATTTCGTTTTGTTTTATGGTATTTTAAAACACCTTTGAAAAAAAAACAGAACTTTCTTTTCTCCTTTAAAATTGAGTGTAAGTGATTTGTTTCAAATTTCTTTTTTCTACATACCCTCAGCCTGCATTCTCATGAGCCCATTTTGCTCTATATTCATTTGGACATTAAACTGCTTTGTGAATATTACCATATCTTGTCTGTTCTTTCTGTACTGCCTGCCTGTACTGTCAGCTCCTCAAAGACAAACACCACGGCTTTCATTTCTTCTGCATTTCCCCCACTGAGCCTAGGAGATGGACTAAGATTGACTAGTGTGCAAAATGCTTCACCCAGTGGGTGCTTAATAAATATTTTAAAACAGTATTACATTGTTGAATAAATTTGACAGCAGTGCTGCTCATCACTTCAAATGCCAGCACTTTCTAGGTCCCTTCTCTGCCTAGCAACCATTTCCCAACATACCTCTATGTCCCTAGACATTGCATCCAAGCTGAAGCTCTCTTTTGATCCAGCTTTCCTTGCCTGAGTTACAGAAATATTGTTTACATGTTTTCTCCTGAGGAGTGTCTTACTGGTACCCACAGACTCTGCCGTTCAACTTGAAGTTGCTTTTTCCCCCTTCGTGATAGTGGGAGAGAAGGACAGTAGGCATGAAGGTTTCCTTTCTGGTAGCCCCCCTTTTTTTCCCCCAAATCATCTTTCACATTAAGATACAATGCCCCTATGCATAAGGGAATCAACTAAGGATGATTTTCCTTCTTAGGACCCAAGAGTGCTAAGGATTTTAGGTAAGAGGTTTTAGTATTTTAATTAAATACTGTTTCTTCGGGAGCTTTATTCAGTACTTCATTTGTTAATGACTTACTACAGTCAGGTAGGCAACATTTCTCTTATAACATCATTTTCCGGGGCACCTGGGTGGCTCAGTCTTTAAGCGTCTGCCTTCCGCTGGGGTCATGATCCCAGGTTCCTGGCATCCAGGCCGGTGTCGGGCTCCCTGCTCAGCGGGAAGCCTGCTTCTCCCTCTCCCACTCCCCCTGCTTGTGTTCCCTCTCTCGCTGTGTCTCTCTGTCAAATAAATAAATAAAATCTTTAAAAAAATAACATCATTCTCCTATTAAACATTATTTCGTGCCTATGAAAAACATGCCGCTACTTAATGCTGTACCAATCTAATGTGGTAACGTACAGAAAAGCTTATGCTTTTTCTTGGTTCGGGCACTGTGTTTTGCAAAACACTTTGGCACGTATTTATTATCTTACTTAATCTTCACAAAAGTTTTGGTAGGTGGACAGAATAGGGGCCATTATCCAGAATGAGCAAGAGGAAACTCAGAGACGTTAAATGACTTGTCTAGTTACACACCTTGGAGGGACTCACACTGAAACAGAATTCTAGCTACAGCCGACTAATCCCATTTCCTGTGTCTGCCACACTCACACAGCTCAACTTCACAAAATAAAGCTCTGCTATGTCCCTAAAGATGATATGTAAGGCTGCTAGGAAGTAGCAACAAGCAATAGATTGTAGGTAGCTAAAAGCAGGAAGCGGGGGGGGGGAGGGGCTGGCGAAAGGGCAAGGAAAGCACACTGTGCATGCGCAGATCGCTATTCGGGGCCCAGGACCCGGAGGAAGGTTGAGGAAAGAACCGGAGCTCCTGGGCAAAGTCTTATTGCCTACCTTCCGCTAACGCGCAAGCGCACTTCCTCAGGATGAAGGTCAGAAGAAAGGGGACGGGCCTCGGAGTCGCGCAGGCGCAGTGGTGTCCCGGATTGTCAAGATGTCGTTCCCCAAGTACGAGCCGTCTCGTCTGGCTACCCTACCCTCTACCCTCGACCCAGCCGAATACGACGTATCTCCCGAAGCCCGGAAGGCGCAAGCCGAGCGGTTGGCCATAAGATCCCGGCTTAAACGGGAGTATCTGCTTCAGTACAACGACCCCAGCCGCCAAGGGCTCATCGTGAGTCGTGGGCCGGCCGGGCGGGAATCGAGGGCCTGAGTCCGGGCGGTCCCCCATCCCCGGCCGGGCAGCCCAGACCGGCCGAGGGAGGCTACGCAGAGGGGCGGCCACCGTTCCGGATCAGTGTTTTAGACTTTGGCCCTCTTCCAGGCCGAGAGAGCAAGCCCACCCACTAGCCCTTTGACCTTGGGCGGAGAGCTCGGTGGTCAAGAGGACGGTTCTGAATTCACACCGGGCTGGGTTTGGGTCCCGGCTTGATCACTTCCCGCCTGGGTAATCTTGAGAAAATGACTCAACTCTGCTGGTTAGCCCCGATTTTCCTGTCTGAAAAACGGGGATAATACATGTTAGAATTAAATGAGATAAGGCACATGACTGGCCAACACAGTGCCTGGGCTGTAATGAGTGTTCAAATAACGTGTTGTGTGTGTCATTTTTTAAAAAAGCAGTTTTTCACCTTTCAGTTCACAATTCATAGCAATACTGCTCTCTCCTGATGGGAATATAATGATTTTTTTGTTTATATCTTTTGAAGACCCCAGAACTCTGCAGCTAGTTGAAACTTCGTGGTCTTTGAAGTCAGAAGCCAAGGCAGAACATAATGGCAAACTAGATGACCTTAGTTTGCCTAACCCCTCTAAACGTTAGTTTTCTGATCTTCTTAAATGGGAAAGGTAGTCCATTCTTTATAGAATCATTGTAAGGTTAAATGAGTTAGTTTGTATAACATTGCAGGCACTTAATATATAACCAGTAGATTCATAGCTATTATTATTTAGTGAGTGGGTTTTTCAATAATTTTCTGTACAAAAGCTGTTTAAATATGGTATCAAATATGATATTAAAAACAAAGCAACCAAAACTTTCCCCAGCAGTTGCATTGGTGTTCTGTAGGACTTTTTGGAAGTTAAGACAATTGAAGGAAGCTTACATTGTGCAGGCACTATCTAAACCCTTTCTGAATATTATTCAAATGTCACAAGTATTCAAAGAGGCCCTGTTGTTATCCCCATTTTACAGATGAGAAGACAATATGGGAAAGACAAATAGGTCATAGAGTGATACACCCTTAGCAAGTGATGGAGCAGAATTTTAAACCTTGAACTGTGTAACCCAAAACATCTGCTTAACCAGTTGGCTTGATGTCAGAACCTTGTTTACTTGAGAAGAAAGTGTGGAGGGAGACGTTTGTTATTTACATACACAGGGTTTGATGTGCCAGATGGCGGAAGTTTAAACTCCGGATTTTCTGTTTTCTAGTTCTATGCCCTGGGACAGTTTCAATTTTGTCATGCAAGAGACAGTAATACCTGCCTCATTGGTGGTTCTGTTAATTAAATGAGTGCTTGGCACTTAATCATTTAATGATCAATACATGGAAATTCTTTGCCTAATCTTTACCAATGATTGATTCAGTGAATAAGTAATTGCTTTTATAGGCCAGGCCCTGTTTTAGATGCTGAGGTGACTGTAGATTCCTGTTCTTGCAGAGCTTTCTTTCCAGTGGGGCAGACAAGTAATAAACAGGTTAAAAAACTAAATTGTTTAGCATGTTAGTGGCAAGGGATAAGAAAAATAAAGCAAGGAAGGGATAAGGGATATGTGTTATGT